GCAGGGATGGGCTAAACCAATTCCTCTTCTTCCCTATGAGGCACAAAATGCCTATAAATGTTGCTCTACTTGCCAGCAAGAGAGAAAGAGATTACAGATGGCTATGGGACAGATTTCCAGGGGATAGGCCCTGCATATAATTGGCAAGTCAATTACATAGGACCAATAGCACCAGATGACTTAAAATGAGTCCTTACAAGAATAGATACTTACTCCAGACTAGGCTTTGCATATCCTGTAACTGAGGCAAATTCCAAAAATACCATTAAAAGACTGGAACAAAAGATACTGTACCAATGTGGGCCACCAAGTTATTTTCCGAGACCAAGTAACATGTTTTACAGCCTACAGAGTGCGGCAAAGGGCCAAGAAACATCATATTAATGGACATATCATGTTGCCTACCATCCTCTGAGTAATGGTTGTTGCTGTTGTTGTTATGTGCCGTCGAGTCGTTTGCGACTCATAGCGACCCTATGGACAACAGCCCTAAACCCTGCTCTATCCTGTGCCAATCGCATTGCCTGACACTCCCATCCTGATTACCCCAGTCACTGAATCAATCCACTTCATAGAGGGTCCTCCCCTCCTGCGCTGTCCCTCTTCCCTACCAAGCATGATGTCCTTCTCCAAGGACCTGTCTCTCCTTACAACATGTCCAAAGTATGTCAGACGAAGCCCCAGAATCCTTGCCTCCAAGAAGTTGCTTGGCTTAACCCTCTCTAGGATGAATCTGTTTGTTTTCTTGGCAGTCCATGGAACATTCAATACTCTTCTCCAGCACCACAGCTCAAAGGCGTCAATTCTCCTTCTATCCTCCCTAGTCATTGTCCAACTCTCTGATGCATAACAAGTGATTGCAAAAACCATGGCCTGTATCAGGCGCACCTTAGTCTCCAGAGAGACACTGTTGCTCTTGAGTACTTTAGAGAGGTCCCTAACAGCAGACTTTCCCATCGTAATACTTTTTTTTATTTCCTGGCTGTTGGTGCCAAGAGTGTTGACCATGGAGCCGAGCAAACTGAAGCTGTGAACAATCTCAATCTCTTCGCCATCCATCCTAATGCTACCGATTGGTCCAGTGGTGAGAATCTTTGTCTTCTTGACATTGAGCCTCAGTCCATACTGAAGGCTGCAGTCCTTGACCCTCTGCAGTAAGTGCATGAGGTCCTCCTCAGTTTCAGCGAGTAGGGTTGTGTCATCTGCATAATGCAGATTGTTAACAGATTTTCCAGACGCCACGCTTCTTCTTCTCATAGAGCCCAACCTCTTGGATAATCCGCTCTGCATACAGGTTGAAAAGGTATGGAGATAGGACACATCCCTGGCGTACACCCTTCCCAATTTTGAACCATGCAGTGTTGCCCTGCTCTGTTCTGACGACTGCCTCTTGGTCCAAGTATAGGTTTCGCATTAGCACGATTAAATGTTCTGGGATTCCCATTCTTCTCAGAGTCAGCCACAGTTTGTTATGAGCCACACAGTCAAATGCCTTTGCATAATCAATGAAACACAGATAAGACATTCTTCTGGTATTCTCTGCTTTCAGCTAAGATCCATCTGACATCAGCTACAATATCCCTAGTACCACGACCCCTTCTAAACCCAGCCTGGACTTCTGGTAGTCCTCTGCTGATGTACTGTTCCAGTCGCTTTTGGATAATCTTCAGTAGAATATTGCTTGCATGTGAAATCAATGATATTGTTCTGTAGTTTCCACACAATGGTAAGATAGAGAATTGGACTGGGTAGTCAAAACATTTGTTATCTAAAATGGGGTGGGGTGGTAAGGGTATGCAGGACTGGCTCACACGCCTTTCTAGAGTGTGTGCTCACACTCAATACTAGAGGAGCCAAAGGGGATTTGCCACTAGACAGATTTCTACATTTCTCAGGTACATCAGGAGAAGGACTAAGAGAAGATGTTGGTGCTACTATACATTTTCTCCCACATCACTTGAATTGTTTTCTCCTTACCAGAAGCTGCAGTCCAAGGACTAGGGATACAGCTAAGAGTGCCAGAAGCAGGAGTGACTCCTGAGTAAACTACTATACCATTAAACTTGCATGTGAAAATTCCTTCATCCCACGTTGAAAAGTAGAGATGCCTGTACCTCCACCTCATTTTGCAAAAGAAGGTTGACAGCGACTACTACTGCCCTGCCTAACAGCCGAGACAGCCCACTGGTGGTGTACCTTTGTAACTCCATTCAACATGAATGGGAATGGACTAAAGGCGAAGAACTTACCAGACTGGTTTTGTTATCTGTAATTTTGGCTGTCAAAGCACCTGACACTGATGTCCCTTTCCAAGAGGGAAAAATATGAATAAAAAGAAATTATAAATAGGAGGAAGGAGAAATAATAGCCAACAGTAAATGAATGAATAAATGAGTCATGCATCCAGAGAAATATAACATCACGTTAATACCCCAGAAGAGACGCAGAGCAAGGGAATATCTTTCTTTAGCTAAATGCCAGAGATGAGAAAAGTGAAGCCAAGGTAACAATTGTTTAAGAGGAAATTTGGATATATTTGATGGATAATAATGTTTCTTCTATGTTTCAATGTTAAGATATATTATAAAAATGAGTAAGGTTTTTGGGATTTTATAATAAGTAATTTAGAAGAAGAATGTAAGTCAGTTGTATATTAATTGGGTATTCAAAAAGGGGAAATTATCCCAAAAGAATGTTTATAGTAGTAAAATTTGATACTGAACTTAGTCTAAGAAAGATTAAGCTCCAGCCAGCACTTTGAAGAGAGTTACATGTGAAAGAACACAAGTAAAAAAAATACTTTCTTGATGAAACTGAGCAAGGTAGCACTTGACGAGTGGAAGTGTGAGACACACAGTAATGCAAAGACAGGCTGAGTTTGGACATATTCCTTCAGCACTGTCCATCTAGCATGATGAAAGGATAAGTGAAGAAGGGTTGCTGTTTTGTGGAGCAGGAAGTTCTGAGGACCCTTGATGTGTTAATTTAACTCATGTGGGGATACGTTTGAGTAAAAGGACCAGCTGGTCTGGAACACAGGAAAAGTATGGACTCCTGAGTTTGAAGCTGATGCCCATTTGGACCTAGCCACGGATGGCTGGGGATGTGCAGTAGAACCCAACCAGAAGAAGAGGTACTTGTTTATAGATGCGGATGCAGATTCAATTGTAATAGAAGACTCTTCAGAGAAAAAGACATGCTTGTTTCCTCAGAGTACTGGTTTGACAGCATTGGGCAAAGCAGAAACTATCCAAAATGAGGGGATTAAGATAAAATAAGTGAAGTAGCTGGTTTACATACTTCTATGAATATAGGCGATGGTAAGCAGAAGGCTGATCCTTCAGATAATGAGATATAATGGATAGAAAAGCCAGGTGATGGTGTGAGGTGTCAGAAACCTTGGTAATTGGCTTTTCTAGACCTGGATGCGGGGATGATCTCCAGCTACCATAACTGCATACACAGAGTCTTGCAAATCAGCAGCTGTGAGATCAATATGTTGTAGTTGTTACATGCACCATCAAGTTGCCTGTGACCCATAGTGATCCCATGTGCAGCAGCTCTGAACCCTTCCCTGCCCTGAGCCGGTCTCACTACTTCTGACACACCAACCGCCACTGCCCCAGTTGCTGTCAATCCATCTCATCCGGCATCTTCCTCTCCTATACTGATTGTCCCTCCACCCTTACAAGTATGATGTCCTTCTCCAAGGACTGGTCTCTCCTGGCCACATGCCCAAAGTATATGAAATGGAGTTTCAAAACCCTAGCCTCCAAGGAAAGACTTGGTTTCACCCTCTCCAAGACAGACTTTATGCATTTTCTTGGCAGTCCATGGTATGTTCAAGACTCTTCTCTAGCACCACAACTCAAAGGCATTGATTCTTCTTCTATCATCCTTAGTCTTTGACCAGCTTTCTGAAGCATAATAAGTAATTGCAAAGACCATGGCCTGGCTTAGGTGCACCTTAGTCTCTAGACTGACATTGTCGCTTTTCAGCAATCTGGAGAGATCCCTGACAGCAGATTTTTCCCAATGCAATTTGTCTTTTGATTTCCTGACTGCTGGTGTTAAGAGAGGTCAATATAAGAGAGTGCTTTCTGCATTGTGAGTGTTTGTGAAAACACCAAGACAAGAGCGGCAAGGAAATTGTGTTAAGTTAGCCCACGCTTGCTGGAGGATGAGAAGATGTTTGGACTGAGAAATCATATAAGATGGACTAAGCATCCAACTTGGCTCATTGGTCACCAGTTTCTGCAAAAACCAGCTTGCATAGTTACAGTCACATGAGTCATTCTCCTGTAGGGTCTGAGTCTCTGTAGGATGTTTTAGTGAATCACCAAACCCAAAGGCCATAAAGGAATTGGGGAACTGCACCATGGATGGAGGTATTAATGTTAGAAATTATGTACTTACACACACACACACACACACACACACACACACACACACACTCACTCTATTGGTCTGAGACTTCTTATAGTCTTAGCAGAACAAACAATGTTGTTGTTATGTATCATCAAGTCACCTGCGCTTCATAGCAACCCTATGTACAACAGCTCTGACGCCTGCCTATCCTGAGCCAGTCTCACTGACTCCGACACACCTAATCCCATTGCCTCAGTTACTGGATCAATCCATCTCATCTGGGCTCTTCCTCTCCTGTGCTGTCCCTTACACCATTTCAAGCGTGATGTCCTTCTCCAAGGACCAGTCCAAACAATCAATGAAAACACTAATAAAAGAAGTCCCTGAGTGGTTGCAAATAGTTAACATGTTTAGCTATTAATAGAAATTCTGGAGATCTGAGTTCATATGGAGATCTATCTGAGTTAAATTGGAGGTAGCTGGGAAGAAGAGCCTTGTGATCTACTTCCAAAAATCCATCCACTGAAAACTCACTGAGCACAATTCTCTTCCAGCACTCATGAGATCACTATGAGTTGGCATGAACTTATCAGCAACTAATCACATTAATAAAGAAGTTCTGAGTCACTTACCTGATGATGCAAAACAGATTTACATTAGCATTGTATAAAGAAAAATCAATAAAAACAACTCTTGTAGCTCTTGTGATCCAGCTGTTCAGCCGAAGGTCAATGAACTTGTCTTTTGTTGTTTGTTTTGATTTTGACAGAGTTAAAATATAGCCCCCATTTCCGTACACACCAACAAACCCCCAGTGCCAGGGGATTCTATATTTAGAAGTAGCGTATTTCCATCTGTTAAACATAATAACAAGGAGGTAAAGTCTGATTGAGAAGTATTTTAAGAATCTAAAACTAACCTTTATTTCAAAAGTTGTTTTTAAAAATTTACAACTATTTAATCAATTATAATAATTTTAAAGCAAATCTTAAGGACTAAGATAAAAGATTAAATTAAGATTTAAAAGATTTTAATTTCTTTATGCTTCTTATGATCAACACATTTCACTAGGTGTTATGAGATGTTAAGTGTTATTCCACTGATATTTAAAATACCAGCAGGGTCACCCATGATGCACAGATTTCAGCAGAGCTATCAGATAAAGACAGAGTAAGAAGTAGGATAATTGTCTACTTGGGAATAATAAATGATGGAAAAGCCTATGAGCAACATTGGAACACTGCTCTGTGTAGTGCCAGGAGATGAGCTCCTTTGGTTGGAAGGCAATAAAAATCCATCTAGGGATGAGCTGCCTTTTTAAAGTAGAGTCTACCTTAATGATATGGCTAGAGTAAAGCTTTTACTTAATGAAGTACCTTCATTTGCTGGTGTAGGAAAATAGAATTGAAACACAAATCGAGATTTGTATACTGATGTTCATAGCAGTACTATTTACAAGAGTAAGAACATGGAAACAGCACAGATTTCCATCAACAAATGAATGGATTAAGAAATTGAAATACATTCACACAATGGAATACTATGCATCACTCAGGAGCTACAATTTTGTAAAATACTATATAACATAGGAGAGGTTAGAGAACATTATACTTTATGAACTAATTCAGCTTCATTAAGGACAAATACTGCATAAGACCATTATTGTAAAAATAAAAGGATAACTAGTGAGCTGTGTATGAGTGTCCAACAAGGGAAGAGAAGGACGTGAGGGCAGGTTGGGGAGGGGAGGAAATCACGAGGTTGCAGAGTTTGGTGGGTGGGTGGAAGGGATGAAGGAATTAGGAAAGATTCAGTGAAGATCTACATAGATGGGGTAAGAGTGAGCATAGATTAATGGTGGTTAATTTTATAAATGCAAAATTATAGGAATGAGCATATGAAATACAATGTGAATAAAGGAATGTGTGAAACACATGTATATGTTGAAACACAATGTATATAAATTTTTGTATGCAAATATAAATTTTTTCAAAAAATGAGGAGGAATAGGTGCAAACATCCATTAACAATTGAAAGATGGAATATATAAAGTACAAATCTAGGAAAATTGGAAACTATAAAGAAAACAAAATGGAATGCATAAAGATCCGTCTCCCAGGCATTAGTAAGCAGAGATGTACTTGTGTTTGCCATTTTGAATGAGCCAATCATATGATTTACTATGATGGGAATGACAAACTGAAGAGGAATAGTGACATATTCATCATAAAAAAGAACATTTTATGATCTAGCCTGATAAGGCACCATCTATATACACACTTACAAGGAAGAACTGTTAGTAGAGTTATTATTCAAATACACACACCAACCACTAAAGTAAAAAAAAGAAATTGATTTATACTGACTTCTGCAGTCTTAAGTTTATTGAACATGTAACCAAGATACATTAAAAAATAACTGGTGATTGGAATGCAAAAATTGGAAACAAATAATGATCATCAGTGGGAAAATAGGGCATTGGTGACATAAATGATGCTGGAGGTAGTATGATACAATGTTGTATAATCAATGATTTTTTTTTATTACAGATACTTTTAAAAACCTAAATGGTGACTACACATATATACCTTACCATATGAAATACATAAGAAGGAGACTCACCAAATATGTGGAAAAAGAGAGCGGAAAATCTCAATATTCACAATCAGAACAAAGGAAGGAGCTTACTATGAAACAAGTCATCAATTACTCATATGCAAGTTCATACTGACTGAAGAAAATGAAAACTAGTCCATGAAAGCCAATATAAAAGCATGAGTTTATCCCACTTGAATTTTAAAACCATCTCAAGAACAGTTTTGATACACTGAATACTAATGATTGAAGACCACATAAGCTGTGAAAGGACTTGAAGCACATTATCCATCAAGAAAATAACATACCATTACACAAACAGTGTTCAAAGACTCTGAAACTTTCCCTTTGGTATAGATAAGCCAAACCAAAGGGGGAAAAATGATGCAGAGAGCTGTTCAGGTTTCAAAGGGCAACACAAGGAGACAAAGCAAACTATTGTAAGGAAATGTACAAAGACCTGGAGTAAGAAAACCAAAACACGCTTGATATATCTCAAGCTGGCAGAACTGAAGAACAAATTCAAACTTGAGGATTCTATGGGAAAAAACTTGAATGATGGTGGGAGCATCAAAAGAAGATGGAAGGAATACAAGAGACACTATGTCAAAAAGTATAACTTACCACCAAACTGTTTCAGGAAATAGCCTATGATCAAGAAACAGTCACACTGAAAAAAAGAAGTTCAAGTTTTACTGAAGCCATTGACAAATAATAAAGTTCCAGGAACTTATGGAATACCAATTACTGTTTTTCAGCAAACAGATGCAGCCATGGATGTGCTCACTAGTCTGTGCTAACAAATTTGGAAGATGTGGCCAACTGACTGGAAGAGAAACACATTGCTCTTATTTTTTTTAAAGTAAGTGGAAATTATCAAATATTACAAATATCATAACTAAGTAAAATTATGCTGAAGATTATTTTAAAAACAGTGGGAGTAGTATATTGACAGGGAACTGCTATAAATCCAAACTAGATTCAGAAGAGGCTGTAGAATGAGAGATTTCATTGCTGATGTTAGATAGGTCTTGGCTGAAAGCAGAGAACACTAAAAAGATGCTTACTTGTGTTTTATTGACTATTCAAAGGCATTTGACTGTATAGAACATAAGAAATTATGGATAACACTGAGAAGAATGAGAATTCAAGACACTTAATTGTGTTCATTCAAAACCTGTACATAGTCCAAGAAGTAGTTTGGAAAAGGTGGAAAGCATAGAATAAAGAAGGATGTCTGTGTTTTACTGACTATACAAGGCATTTGACTGTGTGGATCACAACAATTTATGGCTAACATTGAAAAGAACTGGAGTCCCAGAACACTTAATTGTGTTCATGTGAAATCTATACCTAGACCAATAAGCTGATGTCCCAGTGGAATAATTAGGAGGCCTGTTATTCAAATTTATACACAAATCACTAATGCTGAATATGAAGAAATTAACCTATTTGCCAATGTCTGGAGTCAGAAATGGATCAAAAATTCTATCAAAATACATTGATAAAAATTACTGGTGATTGAAATAGGAAATTAGGAGATAAATAAGAATAGCTGGTAAGTATGACCTTGGTAATAGAAACAACGCAGGAGATTGCATGGTAGAATTTTTCAAGACAAATTACTTATTCATTGTAAGAACTCTTCAAGAATATGAGCAGAGAGTGAGCTCTGGTAGCCTAGTGGCAAGATGCTGTGCTGAAGTCCTGAAGGCACGGTTCGGATCCACCACATGCTCGATTGGAGAAGGAGGGGCAATCTCCTCCTGTGCCAGTCAGGTCTGATTTGACAGTACACGGGGGGGGGGGGGGAAGAAAGAAAAAGAAAAGAGAATATGAGCAGAAATATGCATGTATAGCTCATTAATCTGAACATGCTGGAATCAAGCTACTGTACAAATAAATGATGGAGAAGCTCAATATCATCAGTCAGAAAAAGCCTCACAGCTGAACATATCATCAACTGCTTACATGTAGAGTTCAAATTGAAACTTATGAAAATGAAAACAAATTCATTAGAGCCAATGTATGATATCTACCCCAAATTTAGAGACCATTGAGAAGATATCTGATATCAAAGAGTAACAAAGAATTCTCAAAATGTTGTGTAATATCAATTAACCTGGCAGAAATGATGCTGACTAAAATAAGATACAAAAGGACAAATATGGTACAAGTTCACTATTACTTAAAAAAAAAGTTAAGGAAAAGCATCCAAGCAGAACAATACACTGTTTGATAGTTTTACCAGTGATGGAAGGGGAAGAAAAGGTGAGAGGAAAGAAAATTTTCTGATTAGATGACTCATAATAAGTTAGGTGAAGGGAGGGTATGTAAAGAGAGAAGATTAGTATACTATCACTAATGAAAAGGAAGACACAGCTGCAAAAAGACAATGAACTATTACATACACACCACCAAATCATTAATAAAAAAAATCTTAATCTACAAGTGGATGCACAGGCAGACAGATAAAAGTAGCAGATATGGGCATATGAAAGAGATTACACACATACTCACGCACAGGTTTGTCAGATACCCAATGTCAGATGGAGCTTGGCTGAAAGAAGAGAATACTAGAGGAATGTCTATCTGTGTTTCATTGATTATGCAAAGGCATTTGACTGTGTGGATCACAATGAAATGTGGCTGACCTTGAGAAGAATGGGAATCCTAGAACATCTGATTGTGCTCTTGTGAAATTATGCTTGAAACAAGAAGCAGTCATCAGAACAGAGCAAGGAAACACTGCATGGTTCAAAATCAGGAAAGGAGTGCATCAGGGATGCATTCTCTCTCTATACCTTTTCAATCTATATGCAGAAGAGATCATTCAGGTGGCTGGGTTTTATGAGGAATATGGCCTTAGGATTGGGGTTATATAGATGCCACAACCTTGCTTGATGAAACTGAGGAGGGACTGAAGCATTTGCTGCAGAAGGTCAAGGATTTTAATCTTCAATATGGTTTGAAGCTCAACATCAAGAAAATGAAAATTCTCACCACTGGGCCAATCTGCAGCACCAAGATAGATGGAGAAGTTGAGATTGTCAACAATTTCAGCTTGCTTGGTTCTACAATCAACACTCTTGGTACCAGTAGTAAGGAAATCAAAAGACTAACTGCATTAGCAAAATGTGCTTTCAGGGACCTCTCCAGAGTGATAGAGTGACAATATCAGTCTAGAGACTAAGGTGTGCCTGATCCAGGCCATGGTCTTCACAATTGCTTGCTATGCATCAGAGAGCTGGACAGTGACTAAGGATGACAGAAGAAAAATTGATGCCCTTGAGTTTTGGTGACGGAGTAGTACTGAACATACTATGGACTGCCAAAAGAATAAGCAGGTTTGTCCTGGACAGGGTGAAACCAAGTTGCTCCTTGGAGGGAAGGTTTTTGAAGCTTTGTCTCACATACTTTGGGCATATTGCCATGAGAGACATGAAGGACATCATGCTTGGAAGGATAGAGGGACAGCAAAGGAGAGGAAGACCCTGGGATGAGACAGACTGACAAAGTAATTGGGTTAATGAAGGTGGGTGTGTCAGAGACAGTGAGATTGTCTCAGGATAGAGCAGGATTCAGGTCTACTGCGCACAGGGTCAACCATGAGTCACAGTCAACTCAAGAACCACAATAACATTTCTATGATTATTTCTATGTGCTAAAACTATCTTCGTAGGTATTAGAGTCAGCAGGGAGTAATGTCATAGAAACCTCTTAACTATAACAAAATATCCTGAGGGATCTTAGGACCACAGTCTCAGGGGCATACCAAGGTCAAATGGCATAATACAGTTCACAAAGGCAATGTTTCACATGCTACTTTGGTAAGTAGTGACTGGGAACTTAAAATCTTGTGAGGAGCAATCTAAAGTGCAACTATTTGTTCCTGTCTGGAGCAAAGAAATGTGAAGAAAATCAAAGACATAAAGTAAATCAAAGAAAAGTTAAAGAAAATAAAAGTCAATAGTATCAATGGACTATTTAAACTACTCTCAACTTCCATAACTCTTGAGTCCAGAAGAACTAGAAGAGGAACTCTAAGTAATTTATATCACATTAACAGAAATGTTCAAAAAAATTATGTTCTCTTCCATGATTTTCATAGGATTCTAAAAGCAAAATGAGTTAACAGCATTGATAACCAGCAGTTTATGTATCAAAGGGTAGTGATGCCAGTGACTTGAGCTTCCACATTATCAATATGATGTAACAGCCCTGATTCTATTTTTGAGTTGGCCTCAATCACAATGGGTTGCCTACATACCATAGTTATCCTTTTGAGGGTTGCAGGAATAGATGAAATCACTGAAGTAAACCAGTGTGAGAGAGGAAGAATGTGGCAGAACAATCCAAAAATATTTGGGGATCCCAAGAGAAATCTGTGATGTGCTTGATGGAATATACCAGAACCGGTGGTGGGCCCAATTATTATACTTTTTAAAAAATTAATTAATTATTTTACTTTTATAGAAAGATGATGAGATATTTGGTTCTGCATTTAATATGACCGAACACTGTTTATACCAGAATCAGGGAAAAATAAACTAAATCAAAAACAAATCCAACTCAATGTACATCCTGTGGTAAACAAACAACAGTTACTTTTACTGATTCTAGTACTCAAAGCATAAGGAATCTTAAATGTTTTCCATAAAGCTAGACTCTCTAGCAAATATATTTTTTCTCCTGCTGTTACCACAATGATATATGAAAATATTGCATGATCTTTATGAATGTGTAAGAAAGCTGTTTTTCATCAAGAACAGATTGAAGTCAAGTGGATAAACCTGGAATGGCATTTATTTCCCTTTTAAAAACTCTGGCAAAATAATTTGGCAAAGCAGTCTTTATAAACTCCTTTCACTCTTGAAAGTAAATTTTTACCTTCCTTTTCTACATGTTTCTGCCTATAAGTTTTTCTTTGGTAATAGTTTCAAACATCTCCCTAGTAGGCAAACCCCTACTGATATTTGTTGGAAAATTCACATATTTTCACAATTTTATTAATATATAGGGTAAGCTGCAAGAAAGAGTTATAATTTTTATACTACTTACTCAGATTCACTTTTAAGGCCAAAATCAGACTTGTCTTCCTTTTCAGAAGAATACTTGTCATAACATTCACTAATTAAAGACTGAAAAGATGAATAGACCTTGCATGTGTTGTTGCGAACTTTCAGCTGACGGACTCTTGGGACTCCTAGAAGAATGTTCTCATAGTAGATGCGGCTGCTGTTCTTTAAATCATACAGCTTTTTGTTATTATACCAGGAGTCCCAGTATAGACCTTCCAAAAGGGGTCCTTCCATAAACTATATGTAGAAAGATAAATGTCACAAGAAAAAGTATTTTCATGTCAACTTAATCTGTACTCAAAATTCTATCTACAAGAGTACAAAACCCAGGGATTTTGGGGATTAAAGCAAAAATGAGATTTCCCCACTGTTTATAACATGGGGTATATTAATTTGGTGTTCCCTTAACTAACTGTTCTTTCCTCATAACTGGACCATCTTGCTATGTTGCGTGTAAACCAAAAAAAATCTCCTCTGCTTCAATACTGAAGGAGCAATTTTATATTGTTCTTAAAAATACTACAAAATTTCCACCAGTGGGCTTACCCTTGGACTCATGAAATACTATTCAAAATGGGTAACCCTGGAAGACATTATTCTGAGTGAAATATCTCAGTCACAAAAGGACAAATACTGCATAGTGCCACTGTTGTAAAACAGGACAGACATCAGGGTTGGGAGGAGACTGAGAAAGATGGGATAAATAATATCTTGCATAAATAGTATACTGCATTGAAACAGATGAGGGAGAAAACTGTTTAAAAGGGATATGTGATTAGGTATTATTGTCATGACAGGAGTCAAGAACAAAGGCTGCACAGTCAAGTGGACCTGGGGGAGGGACTGGAAAACAACGAAAAAAAATGTTTCCTTTACTTTTAAAAGAGAAGTGTGTACTGGGGTGGGGAGAAGGGGTGGGCAGGGAGAAAAGTGCAACAATGAATGAATGGAAATCCGAAGTGTCTGTAAGTTTTCATTAAAATTAATAATAATAAAAAAGGAAAAATACTACAAAATTATATTTTTTATGGGCACTCCATTATACACATTATAGGGAGCTCCAGGGGCCTAGTGGTAGGAAACTGTGCTGCAGTCTCAAAGGCACACGGTTCGAATCCACCAGCTGCTCCATGGGAGAAAGATGAGCAATCTCCTCCTGTGTGATTAAACTGCCTCTGAAAACCTGCCAGAGGGCCAACTATGGGTCGGTTCTGACTTGATGGTACACAACAACAACTCTATTATATACTGTACATTAATATAATATACATGCATACTCATATACAAAATACAGAATTACACACAAAAGTAAAAATGACATATACTTTATGGATAACATAGTAAATATTTAAGAGTAATTTTTATTATATACAATTGCAGATTTAATTTAGACCTAAATCTCACAAAAAAACCCCAACTCTCCTATTTTCCAAATGAAAAGTATGTTTTTAATCCATTTTTTCACGTTATAAAAACTCCTACCACACTGAGAGCAGAAGCTCTCAATAAACACTGGTTAGTTGATTTTCTCAAGTTTAAAAAGAGAATTCTGCTCATTCCTTCAACAAAAATTTATTGCCTATCATTTGCCAAGGATTTGTTTATGGATACTGAATTTTAGCTACATCATCAACAGTCATACTTTACCTTCCAAAACTCAGTTATTCTGTGAATAGACTTAAAGTTGGTTCGTTCATCACCAGGCACAGAAGTATCCAAAAATAGAGATGATATAACTTTGTTTAAGTAATACATGTGTGGGTTTACCATCCCAAAAGTCACTAAGGAAAAGAATTTTTTATTTAAAAAATTTAGGTTTTAAAAACTCAGTTTGTCAAGGTTATAAATGTACTCACAATTTTCTCCTTATTAGGTTTTAAAGCCAATTTTATTTTTTCTAATTATAAACATAATATTTTTTAAACATAATATTTTTATAGGTAAAAAAATATACAAAGTGAGAAGTTTCCTGTAAACTCTCCCTAGAGTTTAGCTTTGAATATATTCTTCCAGATTTTTCTTTATGCTTATCCATTTATAAAGTGCTATTTTAAAAATAAGATTACATTATATAAATATTATTCTGAAACAATCTATTTTTACTACATTGATAGCAGACAATATAATTCAGTAAGTGGTTAAGCTATGGATTTTAAATTCAGAAAGGTATAAGTCTCATTATAAATCCACCCAAACCATTGGCTTTAAGTTGATTTTGATGCATAATTATTCTACAGTTGGCTTCTGGAGTGGTTGGTGGATTAAAATCACCAAACTTTTGACTAGCAGACTAACATAAAATACACTACAAGATCAAGGTTCCTTAAGTCTCATTTTAGGAATAACAAACCAGTGTTCTTTCTTTCTCTTTTTCTGAAGAGTACTGTGGGTTAGGGCTTAGAGAGTTATAGGTTCAATATTATACCTTATTTATTGCCAGAAATCCTTCAGTCCTTAAAACTCATGTATGTTTAGCATTATCTCATTATATAATACCATATATCATCTTGGGATACTTAATAACCACATAATACTAAATTCTAATGACAAAGTGTTTGCTTTAATTTCTGTGAATACTGAAATTATAAATGATCCTCTCACTTATTTTTCCATCTTCCAAATATTTTGTAACACGTATGCATTATTTTTATAATGACATTTTAAAACACCAGACTGTTGTTAAATGCCCTCAAGTGGACTCTAACTCAGAGACCCTATGAACAACGCACTGAAATCTTGTCCACAACTGGCACTATTTTCCCCATCTCTACCATGCTCGAGCCCACTGTTGCAGTCATTTTTATCAATCCTCCTTGTTGAAGGTCTGCTTCTCCTTTGTTAACCCTCCACTTTTCACAGCATGATGTATTTGTCTTTTTTTAAAGTAATTTTAATGAGCATTTACAGAGAATTTGGATTTCCATTCATTCATTGCTGCACTTCTCTCCCCGCCCAGCCCTCCC